ATTTTCCGTATTTTGAAACATATGATATCTAATTTTTTTTCTTAATGTATATGTAAGATGGCTTGGAAATAATTTTCTTTATTCAAATATACATGGAACGTACTCTCTTTGAACATCCTCATGGAAATTTCACGGCAAACTTTGTTAGCGATTACTTTGATAGCGGTTTCTTTTTAATCAAATTTTTATATTCTTTGCTTTTAATCAAACTTTTGTCAGACTTTTATACGGTCTTAAATTATGTTTGCGAAAGCTTTATGAAGTGATTGAAGTTTTATTACCACTATGAATGCTGCCTCACAAAATTTCAGTATGCATTAATAAACTAATTTTTTATACACGGGATGGTGAGGATTAAGCTAAATTTCGCATATTATCAAATTTCGAACAAACGATAATAATGCATGCATGAAAGCGTAAAAATAAGTCGGATACAAAAACTAAGTCGAAGTTAACGATCAAGAACAGTCTACGAAGTGATTATGAAGAGATTACCTTCTCAATTTCTAATGCAGTTTTTGGCTAACGTTTTTTGGAGTTCAGTTCTTCGGCGTATTAAACGTGCGGATTAGATCTTGTACCACCTATTCAGCTTTGTGATGCATAATGGAAACTCTTGATGATGATCGATATGTAAAAGCGTGAGGACGAGTAGGATACAGAGGGAGAAGAGTTAGCGCGTCGACGCGCTCGACCAAGCGAGAACAGTCTTTGGAGAATCTCGTAGCGCAACGGGCACGCAACGAGTGTACCCTGAGCGAGAATGCCGATGATTCTTCTTTCTTACTCGACGCTGGCTATTTTCGACTGACGACTATTTTCGAGGGGGACTCGTCACGCGGTTTCGCCGCGGTTTTAGTGCGAGTTTGCGCCAGATGGCCAACGCAACATCGTCGCCGCCGCCGCCGTCATCACCATCGAGGAACGTTGCGCCGGCAAGCCGACCGGTTCACCGAAAGCAAACGAGAAAACTCCTTCGTCACCGATTTATCGGGAAACATACGGACTTAAAGACGTTCTCACAGATTCTCCTATTTATATATCTGAGCGTAACGCATCGACGAAGTTATCGATATCAGAAACATTTTTGCATTTGAAGCAAACGAAGCTTCAACTAATCTTTCGAGAAAGTACCTCAATAGTAACAAACTGGTTTACTGAAAGTTAAACTGTCTTCGAAAATGAGATATTGAAGCAAAGTTGTGTAGATTCAGTTTCATCGCCACGGTAGGAAAAGTCTGGCAGCACGATTGGCGGCCCAGAATCGTTCAACCTGGATTTAGAAATACGCGCATCTTGTAGTTGGCAAGATGCGCTCGTGAGATGTGGCGCAAGGTGTAGGTGCCCAAGTAGTGAACCATCTCCTGTTTCACGTATCAACCATCAACCTGGATCCTGGAGACTGGACTGTCCTCGGCGGCGGCGGCGGTACTTTGGCTGACGGTGGACCACCATCGGCCACGTCATCGTCGTCATCGTCTTTCCAGACTCAGGAACTGAGTCTGCTGATGCCTGGAAACGTCCCCTGGTGGCCGCGTCATGACTGGGACGCATGGTTGCAACGCAATGTCACCGAAACCACCAGGGAACTCGACATGAAACTTGACGTCACTCCCGAAACTAATGATACATCGACTTCCGAGGTAGCGTCGAGACCTTCGTATAGCACCACCATATTCGATATTAATTACTTGCTCGAGTGCGTGTGTATTTGTACGTGCGCGTTGTTTATGCTCGCTATTTCTGCGATCGTATGCTAGCTTGAAACATTCCAATTCCCTTTCTGTGTATTGAACTCGGAAAATTTTACATCATAATCTTGAAATCCCTTTATTCAGGAGAAAAGATTATCGACATTGAGACGTTTAAAAAAAGCAGCTCCGATTAATTTGAACGTGAAAGTTCTATTTTATCCATTAAGTTATTAAAAATACTGTAATTTCAAGAGATAAAATTTTCTTCGTTTGAATATTTATCAGTCAAAGATATTTCTAATAGCTTAACCCTTCGTAGTCACATCTTTTGAAATCACATCTGTAATCACTTTCTGTAATCAGAGTCAAAACGACTCCAGAACGCATTTAACCGGTTGCCATATTCACAGTTTCCGTTCTTTGAAGTAAAAAAATTACTAAATATATTTTAACATTGTAGAACATAGAAATATAGCGATTTTATACCAATTTTAATTTTAACATATTCAAAAAATATCACGAAAATAAAGTGAGCTTTTTACTAAAAAAATCATAATTAAAAAAAATTTTTTATGAACATTTATGGCTATACACATATGACACTTTCAGAAAAAAATAGTGCAATAGTTAACTTAAAAAAAAAAATTTATTTTGAGAGAGAAATGAAGGAGGCTATTTTTGGAAAAAAGAAGTGTTAAATTATTGTATAAAAGATTGATTATTATAATAATCAAAGATATATTAATTAGAGATGTAGAACCTCAAAATTTTTTTAGAATCAAATTGATCCCAATGACCACGAAGGGTTAAAAGTTACGTCATTTGAAATGTATGCCAAAATACGTTTTTTCTTTGGTAAAAAGGGTTAACATATAAAAAGCATGCGTCCATTTCTGTTGGCTATCCGCCACGCAGCTACGGTGATGACACGGCACGAGTCTGCCGAGCTGATTAGCCGGCCAGGACTTTAACATTTAAGCGCGGCGTGTTGGGTTTTCTGTACAGCATGGCGCACGCGTTTCAGGCCACGGTTTATATTTGGCGTAGCCCGTTCTCGAAGACGACGACGACGCAACTTGGAGAACGAGAAGCATGTGCTCCAGTACACGGCGCCGCTTCCCTCCATCTTTCTCCTCCCCGTTTTTAACCCAATATTATGGCCTAACCTTGGTCAATATTAGTAGGTAGCGGAAGAAACACGCGTAACTTTTTGTCCAAGCAATGGCGCTTCTGTTATAGCAGCTAGTAGGAGTAATTTATCGCGATATAACAAAATACGATCCGTTAGGCGAAACATTTGTAACAATGATCCGTATTGATTACGATTCTTCTATTGTTCTGTATTCAGTGCGTTCAGTGCGAGCATTTTATTTGGCTTTATTCTTCAATTCTATTTGTGTAACAATAGAATTTTAATAGAAAAAACTTGATCTTTTGAGGCTTTACAGTTGAAAAATATTTAATTTGTTCATTCCTGTTCCGATAAACGAAATATATATTTCGTTTTGTATTTTTAAGTGATATGATTTCTAAATTGAGCCAAATTAATCAGTCGCTTCGCCAGAGAATATTTTGGAGATGATTCTAGGACTAATGTGGTGATATCCGTGGGCGAGCGGATCTGCGCGAACAAACTGCGTCGCTATTTTGTAAACGGCGTGTATTTATACCAATACTCGGACTTAAAATCTACGACGATAGGACGATATCTTCGACAACCTTGGAGACAACTCGAGTTTTATTAATAGTATTAGAGTCTACGAACCTGGTTCTAACACTAATTCTTTAGTCAAGCGCTTTTGGTTTTAGACCATCAAGTTTTTGGAGTTTAGCGACGTATGCTCCATTCATTTCTCTTTTGATATTAAATCTACTTATTTATATATGGGATAAGATCGAACAATTTTAATGATTCTCGAGTTAGATGATCAGATTTTAATAATTTTCACTTGATTTTCTTAAATCTAAAAATTAATAGAAACACCTAGCTTCAATTATCACGAGAATACCCTTCCTTTAGATAATCTTTGAAAACTTAGTTTTGTCTTGTTGATGATTGGAACAATGACAAAATTTCGAAAAGGAATTTCAATGACTGGATAAGTTAACACAAACAATCGTACAATTTCTCTCTTCTCTCATGTCGTTTCTTCTCATGATCTTCTGGATCACTTACTTTCTCCAGAATCTTTCGGAGGAGACCTATAAAACTTAACGTGTTCGCCATTCCAATATCGCTATCTATTAAAAACAGTAATAGCCGTTATTGAATAGGCAATATTGGGCTGTGCAATAGACCTACTCCACATTTGATTGGCGTTTCGAAATTTCTATGTGTGTCAAGGTATACGGAGCGAGAGAGAGAGAAAGAGAGATATCGCGTGAAAACATGGCGCTTATGATGGCTTGCTGATGCGTTTTGTCGCGTGCATGTAGCAGGAAGCGTGCCCTTCATGGATATCTCTTCTCTATGCACCAGGAAGCACGACGCACAGCGTTGCCAAGCATAAGCTTGCAGAACTTGGGCACGTTTCGAATAAGCGTTCCGAGACAATTTACGTAATACCCCGCAGATCCCTCTCTTTTCCTACTTCTTCGTCCTCCTCGTCTTCTCCACTTTCCACCTGCGCTTTTCTTCGTCTTCCTCCAATTCCGCTCGTCCGTTTCTCCTTCGCCGTAATCGCGTGTGCGAGTTACGCTGATCGACCCCTCTCTCTCTTTCTCTTGGTTATTCCGTATCCGATCGCTCTCGAAGAGTCGCTTTCGAGAGAGGTGGACGAATCGTTCTCTTCGGAGCGGGCACACCACCGCTCCCTGGTATTTTTAGTACGACGAGAGAGTATTTGGCGGGGCGTACCGAGTTTCGTCTTCTTCTCCTCGTTGTCGTCGTCGTCGTTGTCGTCGTCGTCGCCATCGCTACCACCGTCTTCGTCTTGGTCTTCATCTTTATGAACGGCCAACGTTGTCCGTCCGTCGTCGTCATCCCACTGATTGTCATCGTGGTTATAGTTTAGTGCTTTCCTCGGTGGCGTTCTTTCGCCTTTTGTGATCGGCGTGCTTCACGCCTTACCGTAGTGATGTATCTGCGTAGAAGACCGTTTCGTCAGTCTCGGTGTCTTCGTGTTCGATCGCTCTTGCGGCCACTCTTCTTGCACGACTTAGCCACTACTCGAGCATGTCGCGCTGAGATTGTTTCGCGAGATCCAGGACGATCTTGAGTATTTCGTCAAGGGTCGAATTGGTTGATCTGGAAAATCGGTAGTTTTACGTAATTCGCGATTTGACAGCGGTCTCAAGCTAGTTCAAATGTTCATATTCGCACCGCGCGACATGTCGACCTCCCGACAGAGCTCTGTCTCGCGACGGGGTCGTTTCGCGCGCTCGTCCACAACGACGAGCGTGACGCAGATGCTAAGCGATTCCTGCACGAGTCTCCTCCAGAAGCTGACTACGAGGGTACGCGGAACGTCTGCACTCAATGACCACAATGTCGGCCCCACGGCGAGGCGATCGCCTATTGTCGGCCGACTGGGTACTACAAGAAATCGCTTGGAGAACAAGTACAGCACTATTTTAGACAAGTATTCCGGCAAGAGGCACGCCGACGATTCGGAACGAAGCGGTCGCGGTTATTCGCGGAAACAAGAGCGAGATCACAACTATTATCACCGAGACGACAGTCCGTTTGTGCGCGATGACAAGACTCTAGAGCCTTCGATGACTCGTACTATCATCAAGAGTCCCACTAGCGTGCTTCTCAGCGAGAAAGCTTATCCCTACGTGAGCTCTGCGATAAGCAGAGAATCCAGACGCGAGAAGACGCCCGCCTACAACCGCACAGCTCGGCAAACTTTATTGAATTCGGAAGCTTATCGCCGTTACGGCAGACACAAATCCGGACATGCGGAAACGCGCAATCGGAAGGTCAGGCCGCATCGAAACGGCAAGAGCGAGCAGCTAGAAGCTCATTCGACGTCTCTAAGATTGTCCCGACCAGTTAAAATCGAATCATTAACGTTTATGGACAGCAAAGAGATCACGGTCGATCCGGACAAGACTCCAGTCGCTAACAGCAACACGGAGAACCTCAATGACGTCGCTCAGAATGTTACGCGGAACGCGTACGACGCATTAACGGAGGATGTGGATCCAGCGATCTCGGACCGGGCAGCCAAACGAAAGGAGATCCAAAGTTTAATCCTGAAATACGCCGCCATGGAGGATACCTACAGTCAATTGGCGGCTGGTGGACAGGCGAACGTACTTCCCAGCACGACGGATCTCATCGCCAGCAAGTACAAGAAGAGCAATCACCACAGCAACCAGAAAGACGACGCGTCCAAGGGCACAGTAGCCCCGGGTAGCGCGAACGCGATTAGCGAGGTGGACACGATTCACGACGCGATCGTAAGTTGTCGAGCCATGGGTTGCCCGGATTGCGCGATCTCGCGAAAGCGACGCCGTTTTAAGCAGAGCGTGTCCGTTGCCGCTGTTGTCTTGTCTTCCTCGTTCTCGCCTGTGTGTTTGCGTGTGTGTATGTATTTAATTGCAAACGCGCGTATGTAACTCGTGTGAAATCCCTTTCCGCCCTAGCACTCCCTAGATTCACGCTGACTGACGTCCGTTTCGCGAGCCCGTTGAAAAACCTATTAACCGTAGTAATCTTCGCCTCTCCGATAAGCTAAACACTGCACGTCTGCCAATGTTTGCCGTGAGAGTACCACGAGGATATCTTGGGACACTCCGACTACCACGCCGATCTACCTTCTCTGGTAGAAATTTCATGCATTTTTGAGCAGTTACTAAACAGTTACATCAACTTCTGTCTAGTAACTGAGAAAGAAAACTTCTTAGGATCCCAATCAGGATGTAACGCTTTGCTTGCAGTTACTGCGTACAAAAGTTGCGTAAAACCTGAATCCATTTACTAGACAATAACTGGACAGGCGTCTACGCAAATTGCACAAATTTTTATCAGGAAAATGTTTCAGTCACTGAATTAAAATTCTATCAAGTTCTTGTCCATTTTCTACTCAGTTTTGGCACGACTAATGAGAATTAATATAAAACAGTAATATTAGTTAATAATTGGATAGATGTTTAGGAAAATTGCATACATTTCTACCAGGGTTATCGCGATTCCGAATGTAATATTTACCAATCTACCTCCTGTTTCCAATTTGAGGATTGAGAGTAACACGTTCCATGAATAACATACATATGCGATGTAGATATTGGTTATATTTGTGTTAAGGTTTTAATTCAATTATCTGACCATTTAAATTGTTTGGGAAAACCGTCATCTTACATGGTTGCTGAATATTCAAGACTATCCCGGTATACTTGTGAAAGGCGAACTAAATCTTAATACTAAGATCGGTAATTGATATTAAGATCGAAATTGTGTCCACATCAAAGATGCAATAGTTTTATTTCTGATTATCTATTTTTTTATGATCTTGATAACATGTTGAGAGTACGAAAGACTACGAGAGAGTACGCAGATCTGCTTCTCCTCTTTCTGTTTGATTTCACCGTAGAAGTGACTAGCGATCGACGATCCGAAAAATTCGACAGTACAGTCCGCGTGTCGTATTCTCGATAAGGTAGGGTCGAAACCCCGATCAGTATTGCTCCGTATTGCGGCAATGAGGATCGTGCCCCATGAGGATCGAGAGATATCTCTATCGATCGTCGTGGAGCGGCGGTTTACGCGAACACGTAAGTACTATGACAAGTCTATCAAGCAATTAACAGTTTTAACTAAGCTACCTCTCCGTGTTAGATGAAAGGTAACGTGTTACAAGCACTTCGAAGAAGCTGTCCGGTTGTCCGCGCTTGTTTGTTTTTTTTTCTTTTTTTTCTCGTATCTATACAGAGTGATTCATTTTAATCTTAATAGGCAAATATTTAGAAAATATGCAATTTTTATCAAAAAACATTACAAATAGAAGTTGTATGATATAAAATAAAGTGGGATCTTCATTAATATGTCTCCTTCTATATATCATACAATTTTTATTTGGAAAATTTTTGGTACAATTTTCGAAATATTTGCCTGTTAAGATTAAGATGAATCACCCTGTATATCTTTCGTCGAGATTGAGATTTGAGTAAATCAGAATAAATCGTCTTATTCGCAAAATTATCGTCGATCAAATATATAGTAGTATATATTGTCATTCAAATCATTGTCATATACGTTATCGCGATTATACGTGTACATAACGCACATGATTCTCTTTCTGCTTTTCTCTGTCTGTCTACGTTAGAATGTGCATTTGTAGTCGTTTCATGTCGTATCAAGTGCTCTAGTACGTAGAGCCATGCGCGTCTTGAGACGGCTCCTTCAAGGCATATACCAGGTCTAACACGAATATATATATAACGAGTATATAAAAAAGCGAGCGAGATAAAAAAAAGAACCGAAAACGGATAAATAATTAAAATAAGAAAACGACTGCCGTATGAAAAAAAAAAAAAATTAAAAAAAGCATAGACTAAAGAAAAACGTAAAAAGTAACGAAAAGAAAAGAATATACATATTATGTGCCGATGGTAAATTCGTAACCGCAACTTTCTGACTTGGCAAACCATTTTGCCCTCTCCCCTTTCTCTCTGATTGTTGGGTTACCATCTCCGTTGTAATGGAATGGAATGGAATGGAAACGGATATGGCACACACGGATTGGTCACAACTATGGTCGACCGGGTGCTCGGATCGGGTGGCGTCTCTCTCTCTCTCTCGGTGACGATGACGATATCCTACCTTCCTACCCCCACCGACACACTCGTACGTTCGTCCCGTGCTTACACACGTGTCCTCTGCCGCGTGTTACACGGGTCTCCGCCGACTCGCGGTGGTGGTGGCAACGATGGTGGATGGCACGGTGTATGGCGATCGGTTGATGATCGGCGACCGCTCGACCTGGCGTGCATCTGATGGCCACGTGGATACGGCGGATGTGACCTGACGACCCAACGGCGCCTCAACTCTGGATACGTGGCACCTACGTCCGGCGCGACACCTGTTACTGAATCGGACCGACGCGAACACGGAATACCGAACACGGCGGGTCCGCGGCCTGCGATTGGGTCCAACTCTTGGCACGCACCGATATCGATACGCCGGCCCAAATAGAGCCCACGACCGCCCTCCGTCGAGGACGACGAAGACGGCCACCTTGTATACCAATCCGGCGATCTCCTGGCCAATAGATGTTCGTGATCATGTGAATACACTCATTGTAGTAGATTTAAGCAAGCCTCAGGTCGATTAACTGATCGGTTATCTACGGTATCTGCCCATACTTTCTATCTCTTTCTTTCTCTCTCTCTTTCTCTTTCTCTCTTGTCTCTCTCTATCTTTCGTTTCTTTTTTTCCTCTCTTTTTCACTTCTCCTCGCCTGAACTATAGGTATTATATATGAAACAATATTTACACTACAAAACAAGAGTAACAATTCACGCGTTAATCACGTTATGTGTCAATGTTCTCGCTGAACGTCGCCGTTCAGCATACACATACGCGCATATATAGAGATATGTTGTATACATATATATATATATATTATGATACCACTTATTCGTACACACATTTGTGCGTACACACATTGGCGCGGTTCTCTGTCTAGATCGAAAATTCTCCCCGTCGATCTTTTCGTCGCGCGCTAACTCGGGATACGCGAAAGAGCAGAAAAAAAGATATAGTTTCTCTCTGTCTGTCTGTTTATGTACAATTTATTTCAGAAAGATAAGTAATAGCATATATATAGTACATCTATCCACCACGTGTTTCGACAGCACGTAGGAAACCCGTCGGCTCGACGATGACGACGACGGTGATGATTATCGGGAAGCCGGCGCAAAGAGATTTTGCTTTTTGATTCCCCGCTGAATCGAGGATCCCTTCAAACGCGGGGGTGATTTGGTGGCGACAGAGAGCTTGGAGGAAGGGAGTAGAGACAAATGAGAAAGACCGAAGGGCTTCTTATTTGCGCTATCTTCTCGATATGTCGTCCTCCTCGGGACGGCGTGTTCCTCGCTCTTGATACTCGTGCACGCGTGCGAGGACGACTGGCATTTGCTCTCGCCTTTTTTGTATCTCTTTATATCATTGAACTTCTTACCTACTCGCTGTATAAAGAATAAAGGATGGGAGACGATGAAAAGATTCTCCCGTATGATCGACAGTAAATGCCACGTCCCGTGCGTCCGTTCAAAGAGTTACGCTGCTTTTACCCCGTTTTTAGGACCTTTAGGAGAGCAGCAATATTTTCGATCGATACCATTTAAACTATACGATACCGTTCCATGTTTATTCGTTATCCCGTTCACCATGAACCGCGCGTGTACGATAACGCACGATCGGCCGAACGCCCACATGGAAGAGTCTCGCTCGCGTTCCTTCAGGGATTCCTCATTTTTCTTCTTTTTTTTTCTCTTTCAAACGCGACAACTCTCTCTCCTTGAGAGAGTGGCCTTTTTTCTCCTTTGTGTAAAGGGGTGATGGACAAGGGACACTCAAAGGCTTTTTTGTCAAAGTCATGAACGAAAAGGTACTTCGTCTAGTCAGTGAACGCAGGCGAGCACTCCCTCCCTCCGTGGGCCGCGAGGCTCATATTTGCTGGGCATTCACCTTCATTTTTGCATTACAGATAAAGTACTGGCCACCCTAGGAGAGGGTACTTTTGGAAAAGTTGTCAAGGTTAAGGACTTGCAAATGTAAGTTCCATAAGTTCATATAAGTACATAGGTAACATAACTTCGCGTTTCGCACTGTCTACTCATATCTCTCTCTAGCTTTCTACCTATTTATTTTTATTTACCTCTTTCCGCTCGGTTCCTCGCGCGTCATCATCAATTCGCGCGCCGAGGAAAATCCTAAATGCGCGCGTTGCGCGACGACGTACCACAGGCAGAAATAGCCATCCGGCACTGTCACAAAATAACACGCGAGTAGTTGCAATAATAGGATGGCCTTGCACTTTGTTTTACGAGCCGGGCGTTCGCGACGGCCACGAATTAGATCTCTTTAGCGGAATACGAAGTATTCGGCAAACGTCCGCGTGAAAAGTATTCTCCACGTGCAGCTTCGTCCTCATAGGATACGGGATTTGAGCTGACGGGAGACGGTTTTAGTATCAGATATCATGATCGATGTTATGAACATTCTAGGGATCATGTGATGGCTCTGAAGATTATTAAAAACGTGGAAAAATACAGGGAAGCAGCAAAGCTGGAGATAAATGCTCTTGAAAAGATTGCTAATAAGGACCCGGAAGGCCAGCAGTTAGTATCTAATTGTTTTATTTATTCTTTAATCTTTAAGTAGTTTTGCGACGTAAAGTTACTCCGTAAGCACGGATATTTTTTGTTTTAATTTAATATGTAAGGTTTATGAAACGACGATAATTAACTGTCAATTATTTCATTTCAGTCTATGCGTAAAGATGCTCGATTGGTTCAATTATCACGGACACATGTGTATCGCTTTCGAAATGCTCGGTCTGAGTGTTTTCGACTTCCTGGTAAATATTGAAGCATACCTTGTGACGAATTAGATGCATTAGTGCGCACTGATTTAAAAGCCTAATGTATATTAGTCTATCTACATACAAAAACAATATAAATGCCTCGATTGATGAAATGCTTAATATAGATTTTATCAAACACACAGTATAATTATATTGAACATCTCACGGTCCAATCCGCTTATGTACAATGCACATGCTTTTACATCAATTTATATATGACAGTCTTTAAGATGTAATAATACGCACTAATGAAAGCAAATTTGCTATTAGACGACTCTGACGCTATCAGATCTAAAGTATTGACGAAGTCATTTTTACAGAGGGATAACAGTTACCAGCCATATCCGTTGGAACATGTTAGGCACATGGGTTATCAACTTTGTTACGCTGTTAAGTTTTTACATGATAACAAGCTCACGCACACGGATCTTAAACCGGAGAACATTTTATTCGTGGATTCAGATTACGATAGCACATATAACAACAAAAAGGTGTGCTATTGTTAATATTTTCTATTATCGATTTATCGAGCCTCGATTTGGCATGTAGGATAAGCTTCCATTCTAAAGTGTTTCAAAAAAAGGTTTTTCTTTTTAAGCGAAGGGACATGAGACGCGTGAAGCGAACCGACATCAAACTTATCGACTTTGGTAGCGCTACTTTCGATCACGAACATCATAGTACAATCGTCAGCACAAGACACTATAGAGCACCCGAAGTGATTTTAGGTGAGTGCCTCCTTTAAACTATTCTTTTAGTTGCACATACCTTTGTGTCACTATATTATCGTTATATTTACATTTTTCTATATGTAGAATTGGGCTGGTCTCAACCTTGCGATGTTTGGTCCATCGGTTGCATTTTGTTCGAGTTATACTTGGGCATCACGTTATTCCAAACGCATGATAATCGCGAGCACCTGGCGATGATGGAACGCATACTTGGCACGATACCACATCGCATGGCTCGCAAAACTAAGACCAAGTACTTCTACCATGGCAAACTGGATTGGGACGACAAGAGTTCGGCCGGTAGATACGTACGAGATAATTGCAAGCCGTTACATGTTAGTATCTTGATTTGACTTCAATAAAGTTCCTATATCAAATTACGAATTGAAACAAAGATTCAAATAGCGAGAATAGAGAGAGCGAGTAAAAATTTAAAATTATAATAATTTATTTAATTAATGACAAAATAATTTTTGATATATAATAATGTAATTGTTGGTTATCCTTAAAATAATATATATTTTTGTGTCTGTGTATAGCGTTATATGCTGTCTGATGATGAAGATCATCGTCAGCTGTTCGATCTGATTCAACGAATGTTGGAGTACGAGCCCTCGCAACGTATTACTCTGAAGGATGCGTTGACTCATTCGTTCTTCGATGCTTTACCAGCATCCCAGAGATTGCCTGACCCGCGAGCAGCTGGTGATTCTCAACAATCTCACGAACGATCACATTCACTCTCTCGATGAAGCTAGGAAAGGGACCGATCTCCGTGCTGGACAGACACTCCACTTTCAACGACACTACTGCCCTATGTCTTCGTTCTAATATCATTAATTTTTATGGAAACATGTCTTTCGTAACTACGAGATCCTATGATGTGACGATGCGAACGTTGATTTTGAAAAATAGTGCGTGTATGTGTGTATAAATACTGATCATTGGAATTTTTCATTTCATCTACACTCTGCACTGATTTAATTTGGAACTATATATAGGAACTACACGTAGGGAAAACAGTAGTGCGGTGATGCTGTGGAACTTGGACTAATTCGATTATATATAACGATGAGCGATCAGATTACTACCCGTTGCCCGATAACCTCTCGGGTGGTCCGCGTTTGTTTTTATCGAAATTGTCGATCATGAGACAGCGACGAGGTCCCTATTACTGGTACGCAAAGGCCAGTGTGTCTGCTCAGTGTAGCGTAACAGAGTCCCATAATTGTAAACAATTTTTTAAATGCTCTTCTGTACATTTTTTGTCCCTTAAATTTATTACAATGTTATTATACGATATAAATGAATTTGAAATAAAGATCATTTTCGGGGTCAACAGTTCATAATCTGTTTTGAATTGATGACCACGAATGTGTTCTGACAGTAAGTATCGGACTAGTGAAAAAATAAAATGAATAATAGTTTTACTCGTACACGTCAATCAATAGAGTTGACAGAAATTGAGAGAAAGTGATCGAACGCGAGCGAGAGAGGAAGTGTGTGAATAACAATCACCACAATTCATCGTTGTGAATTATATACATCTTGAAATGTAAGAATACATAATTGTCTTAGAAAATATTCTCTCAAACTATTCTTTCATTCATTTCTGATAAGTCTATCATACAAAATGACGTAAAGTGAATAAGCATAGCATAAAGCCGCTCGACTAATGAATCTTATTTAATGAATATCTTCTAACTCTTGTGTGAATCAATATGGTGTCTTTATGCTGGATGCTTATTGGTCCAGTGGCATTATGCTATGCTTGTATAGCTTATGTCATTTTGTGTGTGATGGGCTATACATTGAATTCGGGAAAAGAATTTGCAAAATTTTTCGCGATGTACGTACCGACTTAGCATCGCCTTGTAAATTCTTGGCCTAATTAAATAATATTTTTTGTCGATCCTGTATTCTCTATTATTGTCTTATAAAGATTTAATTTAAATTGATGACGTATATTGAATATTGCGAAAAATGATCGAACATGAAGAAACAATCTCTACTTTTTTGTCACAGACTTTTCATTTGCACAACTGTATCACCCGTATAAGTTTGTTTGACCTTAGTTATACTAAGTTTACGAAATGAACAATATTATAGCTACTGCTCGTCAAACGCGATCGGGGATGTCTAGGATGTTCTGCAGAAAACAAAAACGATATTTCTAGTAGCAATAAATACATTTCTTTCAAACTAGCGTCGATATTTATTTAACCAGCAAATCAATTCTTACATCGAACTTCTATACTTTATTTGCAAAAATGTCTTCATATTAAACACAAATTCATTCCTGCGAATTTTAATAACTAAATATTGCATATTAATCACGTTTGCACATACGATGCTAGAAATAAAATAAGCCCGATCAACAGGTTTTATAAAAGAGGAAGATTCATTTTCCGAAGAATTCCCTCAAACATTATGTATATTATTCTTTCATGAATTCGAAATAATCGTGTATAAAATTAAAGACGTCAAATTAATGGAAGTATTACAATGTTGGCCATGAATAAATTGGAGGTACTGCCGATTTATAGCTTGGATCGTATAATTGTGCCTTGACAAAACTCTCGTAATCTGAAGGCTCGGGATAGACAGTTGCTAGACCTGCATATAAAAAAAAATGTATGAATAATTTATATTATGTAGCAGAATGTGTACAAGACGCTTTTCGTCTTTTCTACACATTTGCAATAATATTTATAGTATCTATACTCACATTTTTCGTAGGCATATTTCATGATTGCACATGCTATACTCAGCGAACATTTCTGTATATCGGCCAATGGTGGATAAAGATTGCCGCTGTCCAAATCGGCTTGCGTTACCAAGTCGGAGAGAGCCGTCGCGGCAATAAGGAAAGTCTCCTCGGGAATGGTGCGCATACCAGCGCATATTGCGGCCAGCGCGATTCCAGGGAATATGTAACTATTATTACCCTGGCCAGGATAGTAAGTTTTATTGTTATACGTGACTGGTGGGAAAGGCGAGCCGCTTGCGAATATGCATCTTCCCTGTGCAATTCAAACAATGGTTGATTAAAATTATTCAGAAAACGTCAGCAAAATTTCATATTAAAAATTTATTTTTCAATGAATGTAAAAAATTGTTCAAATCGACTTCTTACCTCTGTAGCAATATATGCTTCTTCCGCGGTGCACTCCGCCTTGCTCGTTGGATTGCTCAGAGCGAAAATAACGGGTCTCTCATTGTTACGCGCCATTTCTCTCAATATTTCTGTCGTGAAAGCACCCCTGATAGCAGCTGCGCCAATAATAACTGAAGGTTTGGCGGTCTTAACAACATCTAACAGAGTATCGATTGGTTTATCCTCACGAGCAAAGTGCAATTTATGCTCCGTCAGTCCACCCTTTGGACGATCTTTTACTATCAATCCTTTAGAATCCACCATCCAGATTTTGCTCTTAGCTTCTTCTTTAGTTATTCCTTCTTTTAGCATTGTCATTACGCACAATGCCGCGATACCTAATGACGCCTACGAGTGATTCATAATTTATGAAGGCATATTCTATTCTTCGAATATATAATCTATAACGCGACTAAAACACGATTGTGTTTTTGTCGACAGTTAACATATTCCCTAGTAAAAATTTTTCTCAGAATTTTTCAAAATTTCTAAAGAATTTGTCAGAATTTCTAAAGAATTTTATAACTTTAGAAAATTTCTCAGATTTTGTAAATACAAATTCGAACACTTCAAAGTTGTTCGTACATGTAAAATCTGAAATATTCTAAGATTTCTTGTTTTTTTTTCTTAAATTTTTTCAGGTTTCATAAGATTTCATCAGAAATTACAAAATGAAATTACAGAAATCTTAGAATATTTCAGAATTTATGTGAAGAATTCTAAGAAAAGATGTAAACTTTCTCAATTTCTTTTAAGTGTTCCCCAATTCGTATAAAAATTCTGAAAAAATTTTTCACTAGGATTAACTAATATTTTGCTAGCAACCTCTCCGGCACCCTGAAACACGATCGTGTTCTCTGAGAGCTTTGTCTGTGTAACACGAAGTGATGCCAGTAACCCGGCAACGGCAACGGAGGCGGTGCCCTGAATATCATCGTTAAAGGTGCAGTAGTCACTGCGATATTTTTGAAGCAATCTGAATGCATTGAAATTCCCAAAGTCTTCGAATTGGATTAACGTATTTGGACCATATCGCTTCACGACAGCCTTCATAAACTCATCCACGAACTCGTCGTACTCTTGCCCGGTGACACGTTTGTGTCTGTGACCGATATACAGGGGATCATCCAACAAAGACTGTAAAAAGAATATAAAATTCAAACACATATATAGATTTAAAATTAAAGAAGAAATCAACGCGAAATATTTATGAAGAAATATATTACTTTTTTTATATTTCATAGTATAACGAGAGAACCAGTGAAGATGTTTACCGTAAATGTAATGTATTTTCGCATACCTGGGTATTAGTGCCGACGTCCAAAGTGATAGGCAAACACTGATGGGGTTTGATACCAGCTAATGCGGTGTACAATGACAATTTACCTACGGGAATGCCCATGCCGTGAGCACCTAGGTCACCCAATCCCAATATTCTCTCGCCGTCCGTGACAACGATTGCTCGTACGTCGTGTTCGGGCCAGTTTTTCAAGACGTCGTAGACGTGGCCTTTATCGTGGATGCTTATAAAGAGGCCACGTGGTCTACGGTAAACCAAACCGAATTTCTGACATGCCAAACCCACGGTCGGTGTATACACCAACGGCATTATTTTACCTACATCTTCTGCCAACAAACGGTAGAAGAGTTTCTCGTTTCTGTCCTAAGAAATAAGACCCTGTGTGAGAATCAACGCATATGAGAGGAGCAAGCCTGATCAAGCGGGAACGGGGAGACTACTAATATAGCGTCTCAGATCAAGCAACGGCGATAACTGCTGTGTTCATGTACCAGTAGGCCTATGAGATATATGTATTTTGAGAGATCATCCGTGTAGCGTTCCAGATTAAGACGACAAAGCTCTAACTGTTCTTCTTGGGTTTTTACGGCTGCCGGCAGAAGACCATGTATACCCAGTATCTGCCTTTCCTCAATACTAAACGCCAAACCCTGAAACGTGATAATAATACATATCATTATATAAATACAGTAATTAAAATGAAATTAAAATCCACTGAACACCTCTGTTTCTCTTAAAAATCGAATATAGAAAAAATGCAGTAAATTTATAACCCTATTTTATTTATCAAAATGTGTTTCAATTCAATTGTCTTCATCATTCGGATTATTTATATGGAAAACATCGAACGTTGCACATATGTCGCTATCGTTCCTTTTCTTGCGATATTGCAACAGCAAAAAATTAATCGATGAGTCAGAATCAGAGCACCAGATTAGACTCTGACCTTCAATCAAAAGGAATGATACTGTAACTGTTAACAGTGTTAACAGTTAGTGACAGTTAGTGACTAAGTCACTAGTGTGGGTGAAAGGTGATCAGCTGATCGTCATCCCACTTCGATTTTTACAAATGCTAATGTTGCACAAACGTTACATCTAGTGATCGTGATTCAGATACATTATGTATATATATATGTATATATTATACATATATGTATATCAGAATTTACCCTCAAGACTCATTTTCCATGATCCATATTCACTCTCAAAGATGACATATAATATAATAATGCCCGGCGACACAATTGTAACATAAAATTCTATAAATTTAGAATATCTTCAAATTCTATAAATTTAAATATCTTCAAAATGGTGTGTTACGGTAAAAGCCAATGAAATTTTTTCTAGTTATTATTGATATTAACTTTTGTATTACATGTATATTATAAACTTGTTTTATATTTCATCAAACGCGAAAACCTCCTTAATATCGACAAACAAGATTAGTTGCAAAACTAACCACCGACGCC